CTCCCGGCAACTGTGATGAGAGGTTACTCAATAGAGGGCTTCTGCAAGTTGCCAAGTACCGGAGACGGAGCCCCACTCTCTATCTATCAGATTGTGATTTTTAGTCCAATTTACATCCTCCCATCGTGCCGTCCGACCGGCAAATGCTTCTAGTTTTGTCCCATTTTTTTTTTGGGGGGGGGCAAGGATGAGGTGTCATCCCTTTTTTTTTTGAAAAAGTAGGAAATAGGATGAAAAAGTAGGAAAAAATGAGGGTATATAGATATATTTATTGAAAAAACTTTCTAAAAATATAAAGGGAGACATGTTTTTTTTACCCCGGAAGGCAAACCACCCATCGGTGGGGCAAATGACAGGGAACATTTGACGGTGTTTTATTAAAAAGATTGAATTACAAAAAAGAGAGGGGGACCAAACCAAAACCTCCCTTAAGCAAAAATTGGGACAAAACTAGAAGCATTGGGGGGGCTAGACCTGACCCAATAGAAAATAAAAGCATTTGGAAGAAAATACCAAATAAAAGTAAAAGAGCAAAAATAGATAAGATGACAAACTGAAAAACACCTGCGGACAACAATTCCAATTAGGCAACCCTAATACTCGGATATTCTAGTCTGTCTAGTTGAATCGCCCCTTGAATTGGAAAAGGAAGATCCTCCAACCGAGTGAAGAAGATGGAGCCACGAGACATCAAAGAGAATTGGGCCAGAAGATGCGCGACATTGTTAGCCTCTCTATAGGAGTGGGAGAAGGTGAAATTCAGGCGCTTGGCGATGCTTCTAATCGGACCAGCGAGGTAGCTGAATCGGGTGTCTTTCTCTTGACTGAGGATAGCAATGGAGGATAAAGAATCAGATTCAATTTCTACCTCAGAGTAACCGATAGTAGACAACCAATGAACACCAACGAAAATAGCAGCCATTTCAGCCTCCAATACGGAGTGCACCGAGAGGGGGAATACGCCACCAAAAATGAAATTACCTATACCGTCTCTTAGAACTGCACCTCCAGAAGAAGAATTACCAGTAAAAGCAACATCAAAATTCATCTTAAAGGTATCTTTTGGCTTCTTCCAGTTTATTTTTAGAAAGTTAGGAGTGGAACTTCTTTTATGAGTAGAAAAGATGTGTTCCTGGATAAGAAAATCAAGAGGGCTTTGACGTTTAGGGAAAATAATACCTGCAGACCAATGAAAAAGATAAGAGCAATCTAGCACATTGAATAAAGAAAGTGAGACATGTATTGGAGAACATTCCCATATAAAAAGGAGGACAAGCATTGGAGAACGGATGAAGTATTATTAGTTGATTATTACTACGTATATATGAAACAACTACCTTTTATTTTAATTGTGTATACAATTATATATTTATTATTGTTATATGGTTGACCAGTTTTAGTGTTGACCGGGTTGACCCATGACCCAATCCCGCGGCTGGAACGCTTCCCGGTCCAGTTTTTTCCATCAAATCCAACTAATATATTAAATCAAAATAACGTTCGTCACATGACTGATAATGCAATCAAAGAAAAAGAAATAAACAAAACAATAAAAAGCCTTATGTCTCTCGTCCGCCCTTGAACCAGATTGAGAATCTATCACCTCTGTAGAAACAATAACATTCTCTGGTCCTGTAATGGGCTTAACTGAGCCAGTGAGTGGCAAACCAGACTTCTCATCACCTAACCTAAATTCAAGAATTTCTCTACTAGGAAATAAGAACACGCTCAAAACAACATGCAATTCGGCAGAAAAAATACAAACAGAATAAAACGGAATTAAAATAGAATTTAGTGCTATTAATTAATGTAATTTCCCGGTCCAGTTTCTTAAACATAGATTTTAGTGCTATTAATTAATGTAATTTCTCATAACGAAACTTAATTCACTTGCTGTCTACATCCATTCTTCAAAACGAGCACTCTGCAGCTCTGCGAATGCCATATACTCCGTATATTAGTTAAAAGTTCTTTTCTTGTTGCAAGCATATTTGTTATAAATGCAGTATATCTCTGAATTTAGGGATGAACTATACTCTGTATAACCTTACTAGCAATCTGTTAGCTACCATTTAGAGATTGATCCTCTGAAAAAAATAATTATCTATTTATGCCACATATAATTTTGTCATTTTAAGACAATTGTTTGTGACATCAATAAAAAAGCCCTCAATGTTTTTCAAACTTATTGGTATCGCGGACAATTTATCTTAAAAATGACAATAGTTATTTGTGACACGGATCAAATGAGGCATATAAAGGATTAAAGGGTCCTCAACACATGGGGGCTTGTAAATCAAGATTTTCCAAATTATTATGCATTAAACTGTTTGTAAATTACTTGTAATTTAGCAGGTATATAGAAACATAATATCATCATAGATTCAAAATAAACTATATTTCTCATACAATTAATCATCAACTTTGATGTGTTATGTACTTATGTGTGATTATGTACTCAATTGTCATCTATTCAACTTAGGTATAAGATTTTGATATAGTATTATTAGTATGTCTGTATGTGTTTGTTGGATCACCAAAAAGTCAAGAACTACTATACCACATAGCAAGCTGTCGATCAAGATTATATATCTTGCACAACCAACATCAATTAAGATTTTTAAAATATGTTTGTATTTAAAACGTCATTTTTTAAAAACTAATTTGTAACTTCTCGTTTTGCAAGTTTTATAATTTTTTGAACACCTTATTTTTTTCATTTTTATAATATTAATGCTATTTTTACATATAACAGATTTTGTGTCTGAAGTAATACCCTAAATAGATTTTTACATATAATAGATTTTGCAGTATAAGTTAGTAGTCATATAATCCCTAAATAGAAGTAAGACCCTGACTAGGTTTTAAAATATTGAAATTCCAAAATATGGCACTACGCACTATTTTTTGAAAGTAGACTAATTAAGTACTCTTAGCGCATGTTTGGTTGACATAAGTATGGAGTATCTACATTCTAATTTATGCACTATTTAAAAAGTCTTTAAAAGTTTCAATTCAATTGTATGTTTGGCATGCCAATTTTTAAGAGCTTTAAAAACAATTGAGATGCTACAATGAGTAGTATCCGAGAAAAGATTGTCGTTTTTATCATTAATTAGTTCCAACAGCTTGTATATACCAAACAAAACTAAATCTAACAATCAAATTTATATAAAAAAAGCTACTACTTTTTCTTTTCAAAATCTTTTCAGTCACTAAAATATAATAGTTAGGGAGGAAACACATTGTTCATATTTTGAAAATTGACATTCTTTTACTTTCCTATTTTGGAAAAATTCCCATAATTTGTTTGTATAGTACTATCCGTAAATGAATGCACGAGGCCTTAATTAGCCTATAAATCAGAGGTGAGAAGGGTAATTAAAGGCCATCATCTGCCTTCTTCATCAGCAAATTAGTGAGTGAAAGGAAGGGCATTCACATGGCAAACCTCACATACATTTGGTTTCTTTGTTTGATATTAATATTTCTGGGGAATGCTGGACTTCATCCACTCATGGCTTCTCATCACGTAAACAAAGATGTCTTGCCGTCTGTGACTGATGCAGAGTTTCAGCCTTACAGAACTGCATTCCATTTCCAGCCTCCCAAGAATTGGATGAATGGTACTAGTATTACATACTAAATCCGTCCCGAAAAGAAGCTCTCACTTTGGATGTTCCAAAAAGAAATTCTCATTTCTATAAAAAGAAACAATTTTTATCTCAAAAGTCACAACTACCTTTATTTTTTACACATTTTTTGCTTGATTTGATATAAAGCGAGGGCAAACTTGAAAAGTCAAAACAAAACTCCACCTTACATAAATATATGTGTGTATGTCAAATAGGAATTTCACGGAGGGAATGCAATTTTTCTTCCATTGCATGCTTTAATTTAATATTTACGTACATTTTTACATTATACGGAGTAGTATAGTTCGATACACAAATAACAAATTTCAATTAATTATATCTATGGTGTTTAATTAATGAATGGTTTGCTCTGTTCTTTTCATGCACGTCGACTTGGACACACCCTAATGCATATCTAGTTATCTACAGATCCTAATGGTGAGTTCCTTCAATCTGCTTTGGTTCCTGCCTCATCCGTTTCAAATTGATTTGTAAAATCAACTTTTTAAATCAAATAGTCTCATTTTGTTCACTTAATTAGAATATCAATATTTAATTGTATTCTAGTTTATATTTTACAATTTTATAGATATTTTCACTACAAAAAAACACGGACTTAGTCACAGATTTAGTCACAGACCGTAGTATAAAAATCCGTGACTAACTCTGCTAGTCGCGGAAAAAATCCGTGACTAAATCCGTGACTAATTCTAGTCACAGCCGTTTTTTCCGTGACTAAGCGTAGTCACGGACCCGATCCGTGGCTAATTTGTGACCGGAATAACCACACCGGCGACTCAGTCACGGCCTCTATCCGTGACTAATATGTTTTTTTTAAATTCAAACATATTAGTCACGGACCTATTCCGTGACTAAGTTTTCAAATTTTGAATAAACCGCCAAATAGTAGGGTTTAAATTTTCAAAATTTTAAATTTAGTCACGTACACTATCCGTGACTGTATTTTTTATTTAAAAAAAAACATTTTTAAATTTTTAAAATAATTTAAAAAAAAAACGGTCTACAATTTAGTCACGGCTTAGATCCGTGACTAAATTTTTTTATTTAAAAAAAAAGTTTTTTTGTTGTAAAAACAAAAATTAAAAAATATGTTTCAAATTTTCTTTAGAAAAGTTTATTTTAAAAAAATAATTGTAGAATTAACAGATTAGAATAAAAGTAATAAACAGACTACTAGAATAAACACTTTATTTAACAAACAGACTGGAATAAAAGTAAAAATAAACAGACTAGAATTATAGTATAAATAAACAATGTTCAATTAAAAATGTATATCATTTACAAGCTCCTCCGGCCACCATTATGATAATATCTAGAATCATCATATAGATAATCTTCTTCGGTCTCGTCTTCTTCTCGGTTGCCTCCACCTTGGCCTTCTCGGTTGCCACCGCGACTGCCTCCTCCGCAACTGCGTCCTCCTTGGCTGCCTCCAGATGTTTGAAACAGGTTATGAAAATTGATATCTTGAAAAGAACCATATGAAGGCAACCTGGAAGCAGAGTTGAAACGGAAATAACCGCCCATCTGCGGAACTTGAGGAGTCTGCTCGGGGTGCAGTATATATGGCTGAGGCTGATTCTGAATTCCGGCGCTGAGGATCCGTTCCATCGCTTCCAGCCGGGCTCTTGTTTCTTCGTCCTTTTTGCGTTGCTCCTCCAAGGCCCGTTGCTCCTCCTCCAATTCCCGCTGCATTTGAGCGATACGTGGATCCTCTCCACGCCTTGATCGAGAAGATGAAGCGCCGATGCGGTCGTACAAAATCCGTTGCCCCTCGCCCCCCATGCACGAAACCCGGCCCTTGCACACCCCAGCTGCCTCAATGATGGCATCATCATCAACTAATTCTAAATAAAAATAATAATTCAAATAACATACCTTATCTGCATAAACAGGGAAAATGACATAAGATAGACTACATCATTCGATCTTTCAAACTGTATTATATACTGGGAATGAATTGGTGTGGTTCTGTTGAATGAGTTGCTCCTGCACTTATAAAAAATTTAGTCACGGACTTAGTCACGGATTTGTCCGTCACTAAGCAAATCCGTGTACATTACGCGTCCAAACCGTGTAAATGACGTGTAAATTACGCGTGGGAATAATATTATTCAGTTTAGTCACGGAATTAGTCACGGACATGTCCGTGACTAGTTGTTTCCGTACAGAATGCCGTTGTGAAATAATTACTGAGCGTTGATTTTTTTTGTTGTTGTCACGGATTTAGTCACGGATGTGTCCGTGACTAAATCGCCGGAATAAAATAACCCATGCCGGAAACGGGATCGGGGCTATCGGAGGATTTTAGCCACGGATCTGACCGTGACTAAGCTTAATCACGGTCAAATCCGTGACTATTTTTTTTAAATCCGTGACTAGTCCGTGACAAACTAGTCACGGACCAAATCCGTGACTACAAGGCCGTTTTTTTTTGTAGTGTTTATAGTAATTTCTAAATACAAGTATGTAAATTTTACTTATTAAAATTGAATTAAATTCAACGGGTAGCTAGAATTTTGGCCGAATATATTCATTATAGTATTTCTTTATATTGAGAATGATAACTAAACCATAGAAGTGAATACTAATTAGATCAGTTTGAATTTTTTCAGTTCGGATTCGTTACTCTTAGTTTTTCACAAACTATACTCGTATCATATGTTCGATCTTGTAGTATTTCCATCATTTTTTCTTTTTCTTTCATGCTACCAATTTTTTTTATAAACATGTCTAAAACAATGATAAAGTTTATAAATAGGATTATCATTATTTTATTCCCTAAGTTTATTTTGGGAAGTTTAATCAACTTTTTTTAACATGACTAAATAAGTCTTAATTGGGAAATAAAACATAATTAGTCTTAGCATGTTTTCTCTTAGACTGTTTTCACTCTTCAGTCTCAGACCAGACCAGATCAGATCAAACTTTCATAGTTATAAAATACACAGAGATCAGACGTTTACTAGACCAGATCAGACTATACCAGACCATATCAGACCAGACCAGACCAGACCAGCAAATTTCAGTCCAAAACAAAACATCCTTATTTTTGCAAATGTTTTAATCCTAGCAATATCCATACACAAATTTTCCTAAGTAAGAACAACAAAGTGATAGTCTAAATAGGACTACAATAATTTTTTTCACCTAAATAAGTTTAATAATGTTTATTCTTGGAAAATTATATCAATTGTGGCATTTGGCAATTGGCATTAATGATGTCATACACAATATTAGATAATGCCAAAATATGTTTGTATAATTTCCGAATGGCAATCATTTACTCATGTTTTAACAATATATAATAATTCCATTTTGGAAGTTTTAATTGTTTCACTCTTATTTCACGAAATCTCTCTATATTCTAATACTAGATCCATATTAGTGTAATTGAATTTCATGTGTACTTTGATTTACAAACGAATACGAAATACTAATAATAATACCACTGCTATTAATATACGCTTTACTTCCTCATGCCCAAATATAGAAACTATATTTATACAGACTAAAATAAACGCACTTGATTGTAATAACTATTAATCATATTTGTATAAATAAGTTTTATCTTAATCATATTTTCGAAAAGATCCCATATAGTTTTTATGTATGTAAGTATTTTTGATAATATGAAACTAATTTATTTTTGAGGCATTTTGCATCTTATGATTTCTATTAGTGTACAAATGAATATAATGATTTTCGAAGATATAATTATAGCTACGAATTTATAGCTACGAATTTATATGATTTTTACACATCATATATAAGTTCTTTAATAATTATGATATCTTTGATAAGTACTTTGAGTGTACTTTTCTATTTAATATATAAAGACATATTCTATTGCGTGAAGTGATTTTGAATTTATTCCAAACCGTATTATTCAAAATACATATTCTTTTTTTATCATTCAAAATACATATTCTTAAAAAACTGACTACGTATATCTTAAAAAACTTACATATTCTTAAAAAACTTACTACTTAAATCTTCAAAATGCATATTCTTAAAAAACTTACTACGTATATCTTCAAAATACATATTCTTAAAAAACTTACTACGTATATCTTCAAAATACATATTCTTAAAAAACTTCGTATATCTTTTGTGAAATGAAGAAGATGCAGAATAGATTAAAGAAAGATATATTATTAATAAGTTTAAATTACTTCTTCTTAATATACAGTTTTCTGAATTCATTTATAAAGGATTGAATGTGCTATTTATACTAGTTAGACTTGAGATGAATAATCTAGAAATGATTCTACATAATTTGCTGATAACATTAAACTTAGACAGCTGTCGTATTACGAGAATTGAAATTGGATTAATGTGCTGATTACAAGGAAGGATGAACATTATTTTAGAACAATATTTTAGAACAATATCAACCTTTTCTAGACATATTATTAAAAAAAAATTATGAATAAAAGTTTCTATTGTTATAATGTTATTATGCAGCGCCAATGGTTTACATGGGAATTTACCATTTGTTTTACCAGTACAATCCCGACGGTCCAGACTGGGGAAACATATCGTGGGGCCACGCAACTTCAACTGATCTTATCAACTGGTCCCACCAACCGCTGGCCCTGGTTCCATCTGAGCCGTCCGATATCAACGGCTGCTGGTCCGGATCCGCAACCATTACCCAATACGGGTACCCTGTGATTCTCTATACGGGCTGCGACGCCCAGAAAACCCAAGTCCAGAATCTCGCCTCCCCCTCGAACTTAACCGACCCGTATCTGATAGAGTGGGACAAGAACCCGAACAACCCGGTAATCTCACCCGCCACCGATAACATCAACGGCAGCGCGTTCAGAGACCCGAGCAGCGGATGGTTGACCCCGGACAATCAATGGCGGGTCCTCGTTGGAAGCAAATCCGACCGCCGCGGGATGGCTCTTCTGTACAGAAGCTCCGACTTTGTGAATTGGGTCAAAGCTGAGAAGCCCTTCTTTTCATCCGAGAATACGGGCATGTGGGAGTGCCCGGACTTTTTCCCGACGGATTTTCCATACGAGGACTCGAAGTTCGTCCTTAAGGTCAGTTTGGATGACTGTAAACGGGACTACTACGCGATTGGGTCGTATGGGGATCCGGAAGATGACGTGTTCATACCAGATGAGGGGTCTGTCGGGTTTGGAGACGAAAACACTGTTTGTTCGTCTCGATTGTTAATGTTTGACTATGGGAAGTATTACGCTTCAAAGTCATTCCTTATCGCCGGGTATACGCCCGAAAGCCGGAGGATCCTGTTCGGATGGGTCAATGAATCCACAGATGCGTCCATTTATACCGGGGCTGGATGGGCGGGTCTCCAGGTACTACTCGAAAACGCATCCTAATCAAAAGCTTGAGTTTTTCCCTAAAATCTGCGGACAAAAAATTGGATTAAGAGCATCTTTGTTTATGAAGTTTGTTTATGAAGTGCTACTGGTAAATTTAGGAAATAATAAAGTTATACATTAGGAGGAAACCTAGATTTTAAGATGTATCAAAGTCAAATCGATCTATAACCTTGATGCGGGCCCGAAAAATGGCGACATGGTTATTGAAACAATGACAAGTATGAACCCATGAAAAAATAAATGATAGCACGATTTAGAGGATGTGTCCCTTCGTGAGGAAGGGTCTTGAAGTCTCACACCGGTAAATTAAGGAATAAAGTCTTATATTAAGATTATGAACTACCCCTCCTATCAGGATGACATTTTAGGATGAAACTCTACATTTTAATTCTAGATTATAAACTTTTTTTACAAACATGTAGTTTTTGACTTCCTGCATCGAATTGAGAAATAATCAAAATAAGTAAGATTGAAGTTACGTTCATTTTAGTTCGGATCTTAATATTGGACTGGCTTGGGATGGGCTTAACAATTTATTGGAGCAAATTTTAGAGATTCTTATATTAGATGTCTTCATATATTGTATGTCTTCAGGCAATTCCAAGGCAGGTATGGCTTGGTGCATCTAGAAAGCAATTGGTGCAATTGCCAGTAGAGGAAATAAAGCAGCTAAGAGAAAATCAAGTTAGCCTACCAAGTGCAGTCCTACAAGCAGGGTCAGTTGCTGAAGTTCCTGGTGTCATGGGCTCACAGGTAACAAACACCAATTTTATTCTCATGAAGAATTTGACTTCAATTCTTAACCAGCACTCGACTTTTCAGGCGGATGTTGAACTTGAATTCGGTGACCCAATGCTGGAGAAAGCTGAGGAGCTGAAACCCGAATGGACTGCCGATCCACAAGAGCTGTGCAGCCAAATGGGTGCATCAGTTAGAGGCTGTCTTGGACCTTTCGGATTGCTAGTCCTGGCGTCACAGGACATTCAAGAATTCACAGCAGTTTTCTTCAGAATTTTCAAAAATGTGGACAAATACAAAGTTCTCATGTGCAGTGACCAAACTAGGTTTAATTTAATATAAAGAACTTGCCCTAAACAGGAGTAGACACGTTTGAGAATTCTAGAATATGAATGCTTTGTTTTCATTCCCTAAATATGAGTTATTACGGTTAAGCTAGAAAATATTGTCACTATTTCTTTTCTTGTGTCACTCTATGATAGCATGTTGTAATGTTTAAAGTCTAGTAATGCTAAAACATGTCATTAAGTTTTGAAATTTTCAAACGTTTTACACATATTTCAGGAATTTCTTCTTTAATTTATCGTCCATATTTTCAGTTCCATTTCTTTAGTCCATCATCAGCTAGCTGCACTCATTCTAAAAGCGCACCTACTACATGTACAGGTCTTCATCTAATCTGGATTATGACAAAACTACATATGGAGCCTTTTTGGATGCTGACCCTCTTGTGGAGAAGCTCTCTCTTAGATGTTTGGTAAGCTCAATAACATTTATGTTAACGTCATTTCCATCGGCACGATTTGTTATATGTAGGCTGATAATACTTCAGATTAGGGGTAGAATAAACCGGCTCGAAACCTGAAAACCAGACCAACCTAACTTTGTTCAGGTTTTATTTTTAATTTATTTCTCAATCTGGTTAAATTACCCGAAATAAACCCAATCTGTTTGGGTAATTTCTAAATCTCAAATATCGAAATCTGTCTCGGATAAAAGACATTGACTCTTTAACCATACAATAGTTAATGTATGCTCTCTATATCTCACTTGCATTTTTTATATACATTTTTGACAATTTATATTTGCACTTTTTTCTTCAGATTGATCATTCAATTGTAGAGAGCTTTGGCGGAGGAGGGAAAGTTTGCATCACGTCTAGGGTTTATCCCTCCACTGCAATCGATACTGAGGCACATCTATATGCTTTCAACAATGGAACTGTGGACATAGGGATTTCTAGCTTGAATGCTTGGAGCATGAAGAAAGCAAATATCAACTGATTTACAATATCACCAACCAATGGGATTTATTTCCATTATTGTATCTTGTGATTTGAAATAAACAAATGAAAAATTGTGACCATGCATGACTTGGATAGAATTAATAAGAATTTGAAATATAGTAGGGTTATGCATAACTAATCATCTCGAACTATGAGCCCGTTTGGTAGCACCAAAATCGGCTGTTTTGGCTGATTCTGCTGAAATTTATGATATTCTGGCTGGAGTGGCTGTTTTGGCTGATTCTGCTGATTTAAGAAAAAAATATTTTAAAAATATATTTTATTAATAAATTAAAGAAAAAAATATATGTAAAAATAGCTAAAATGGTCCTCTACAGTAACTTCAGCCAATACAAGTAACTCCAACCTTACTTTTTCGGCTTATTACACAATTCAGCGCGCGAAAGTAAAAGTTACGTGTTTGGTGAAAAAGCTGGCTGATAAGCCTGATAAGCCGAAAACAGAGTTCTCCAAACGGGCTCTATATATATAGTAAAAGGTTTGGTCTTAGTAACACTCTAGCCTCTAGGGGTCGGTCCATAAATTATAGTCCCGAGAGTATGGTTCTTTTGGACTGTTTTCAGGCCCAGATCAGACTTAAATAGATCATACCAGACTTAAACAAACCAGACCAGATTTGGAGAGTTATAAAATACACACACTAGACATTTACTAGACCAGTTCAGACCAAATTAGACCAGACCAGATCAGCAAATTACAATCAAGAAATCATCCATATATACGGAGTAAAATATATTACCCACAAAGATCTCATTCAAATGAATTACAAAGGTAATTGCTTAGGATGTTTTCTTTTGGACTGTTTTCAGTCCCAGACCAGACCAGACTTAAACAGACCATACAAGACCAGACCAGACTTAAACAGACCAGACCAGACCAGACTTAAACAGATCAGACCAGACCAGACTTCCGTAGTTATAAAATACACAGAGACCAGACGTTTACCAGACCAGTTCAGACCAGACCAGACCAGACTTAAACAGACCAGACCAGACCAGCAAATTTCAGTCCAAAAGAAAACATCCTTAATCATTTAAACATAATTTAATACTACGTACACAAAGTTAGTTATGTAAATTTGTCAATAAAACATAAATAGAGTAAATTATAAAACACGAAAACCACACTTTTCTGAATTAAACTGACCAGTTAACCATTCAATAATATACACATAAAAGTATTCTACATGAGGAATTGAGGAGTCGCCTAGAAAATTAAAAAATTAAAATTATGCATAAGAGAGATAACGAAAATTAACATTGATAAATAAAAATTAAAGTTGGGAATTCTTTTATTCCCTTCTCTAATTTTCCCTATGGACATGTACTTGTAGACTGGTAGTCTGAACTCTGAAGGCAAAAGGCTTGATATGTGGTGTAGTTTTCAAACCTAAAATCGAAGGAGTTTTGAAGAAAATTAGATAGCTTTGATTTTTAAGTTTTTATTTTTCGAAAATATGTAAATGTGTGTATATTTGCGCGTGCGCCCGAAGTCCCGAACAATTGAACACGAATCATGAAAGTTTAAAAGCATATTTAACGAAAACTTCTATGAAAAAATAGAAATAATAATTCCAACTATTGATGGTCCGTCGTTAATAATTCCAACAATAGGGACTATTTTCCAAAAAATGTCTCTAATCGGTTACAACCTGATATAGCAGGTCATTTTTAAATGTGAACTATGTGTAAGTAATCTCAAGTTTCTCAACTATAGTTGATCTTTTTTTATTAATCTCGACTATCATTTCTCAATTTTTTGAAGATGTAATAATATTTTTATAAATTTCCAAGCCAAATACTTTTAAATATGTTTAAACAACTAAAAAAATTAAATAAAATGTACCTAAGTTAAATGAAATATTTTTAGTAATTTTTTATTTATTTTCACAAATTTTTTTTTCCTTTTTTCCAATTTGTTTTTTCCAGCTATGTTACCAATCTATGATTTTGTATTATTTTCCTTTATTCAAAATTAAATTTTCTATTTTCAAAAAGTAAATAATGTTTGAAATTTTATTTATTTTTTATGCTATCCTAATTCTGAAAACCTAAATGTTCTATTTTCCCATTTTAGTATTTCTAGTTTCTTTTTATTTTCCTTATTTTATATTATTATATTCTATAAATTATAGTATATAGTTTATCATTGCATTTTAGTGATTTGGGGTAGACGCTTGGGAGGTTTTGACTATTTATAATGAAAATGTATTAATATTATAATTTTAAGTGATATAATAAAAATTGTAAAAATGTAGAAAAAGTGTATCAAAATGGTAATAATAATCCCAACTATTTTGGCATGTAAAAAAAAGTGTGGGCTTTTGGTAAACGTTTTGGTAAACATTTTTTTATCGTCATTTCAAGCTATTCACATTGGTAGATGTTAAAAATACTAAAATGAAATAAATAGATAATTTAGATGTTTAGATTTAGCTTGAATAAAGATCTAAATTGTAATTTTTTTTATCACAAATTACTCTTTGAAATTAGAAAATGTAAATTTGAATAAAGTAAAATAATACTAAATCATAATTTGATAACACAACTTTGAAAATCAAATTGGAAAACGGAAAAAATTAAATTTTAGTGAAAATAAATAATAAATGACTAAATGTTTTTTTAATTTAATTTTGCTACATTTGTAGAATATTCATTGGGGGGTTGCTGGGGGCAGGGAATGTCATGGCTGGGGACAACAATGGTTTGGGACGGTGGCGGTCAATGGGTGTAATTAGTTGGGGGGCACTTAATAGGCGCAAACAACGATCACTGTGGTGGGTGTGGCAGGGTCACTATTGTCGAAGTCATGTATCATTGTGGCTGGAAGTATGACTAGAGTCGCTAAGTCACTTTGCGAGAGTTAATGTTTAATTGTGGTTGGAGTAACAGTGTCACTAGATAAATGAAGTTGTGATGTTAGTCACATTTTGGAAAATAAAAAAAGGCCACTTTGTGTCTATTGTCCATTGATATTTATAATTTAAATAATAATACTACGTAATACAATGATATTGATAACGCTTATAACAACGATAATTGTAATTGTAAAAATAAGGATAATGATAATGATATTATAAATGTATAGTTATAATTATAATTATAATCATAAATATAATTATAGCTATATATGTTATAATTATATCTATAATTATAAATATAATTATAGTTATAACTATAGAGAGAAATCATCATGTCAGGCCAGCCTGACCGGGAGAGCCGTCCGGTCGAGCCCTTTTGGCGACCTTCCCGGTGGAATTTTTTGATGAAATTTTTTGAGCATGTTCCTCATCAAGTCTAGTTTGTCCATACCAAATTTCAGCTCAAAATTCGATCGGGAAGGCATTCACATCGTTTTTTTGAAGTTGACTGCATTTTTATATGTATATTTTGACGCAGTCAACTTCAAAAAAATATTTGAATGCCTTCCCGATCTAATTTTGAGCTGAAATTTGGTATGGACAAACTAGACTTGATGAGGAACATGCTCAAAAAAATTCATCAAAAATTCCACCGGGAAGATGCCCAAACGGGCTCGGCCGGACGGAGGTTCCCGTCAGGCCGGCCTGACAAGAAGAGTTCTCTAACTATAGATATAATTATACTTATAGTTCAAATAGTAATAACCTAAATAATTTTAACAATAATAATAAAAAATCATTTAGATCGGATTTATTCAAATCGGATCAAACCAGTAACATCCAAACCAAACAAAAAGATACAGATCAGATAAAAAATCAAATAAAAAAAAATTCAAATTAGATCATAGCAGACAGATTCACACCAGATCAGAAAAGATTTAATCAATTGGGACCAGATTTGAAAAAACTTAGATAAGACCAGTTCAAATCTTAAAAAGTTCATATACATCAAACATAGCAACTTATAAGTCTATTAAGTTACAACCAAGTAAACAATGCGTAACTAAAATAAAACCAAATCATCTATTTCACAAAAACAAAATAATTAATTATCCCTTTCATCGAATTTAATCAAGTTAATTCAATTAAATGATCCTCCTCAACCAAAAAAGTATTAGGATGTTTTCTTTTGGACTGTTTTCAATCCTGAATTAGATCCGACCAAATCAGACTTAAATAGATCAAACCAGATCAGACTTAAACAGACCAGACTTGGATAGTTATAAAAACACAGAGACCAGATGTTTACCAGACTAGACCAGACTAGTTCAGACCAAACATGACCAGACTTAAACAAACCAGATCAGACTAGACCAGCAAATTTCAATTCAAAAGAAAACATCCTTACCCCTTTAGTCTCATTTTCTAAATTGAAGTAATGAACATCATGACCTATTACACTCTGACTTTGTTCCCTTGTACTTCCTCTGTGCCTTAAAGCTTTGTCATTTTCCATTTTGGGATATTCCAAAAAAACTTTGTCACTTCCCCTTTTCATCAACTTTTTTGTGGTTCCTGTTATTTATCTTTCATATGAACATATCTCAATCATACAACTTTTACTTTGATATTCTTCTTGCCGTTCAAACTTGACAAAGTTTTAAGAGACAAAGAGAGAGTATATGGTTTCATTCTTTATTTTTGTTACTCGTATTCTATTGGCTTAGATGTTAGAATCCTAAAACATTCCTTTATTCCTTGTTTTTTTTAAATTCTTCTAAACCTTATTTGCGACTTTCACTTTAGGAGATCAGTGATGTCATCAGACTATTTAACATTACTTGTTTTTTTTTTTTTGAGAAAACTGTCAAATAGACCCCCGTACTATATCGAAAAAGTCAATTAAGTCCTCATACTTTGGAAACACCCGATTAAACCCTTGAACTTTTTAAAAACACTCAATTAGGCCAATTAGTGGGTAACCAACCGGTTTCCCGGTCACTTGCACGTGTGGCAGTCCATGTGGCGGTCTACATGGCAAATATTAAAATTTCTTTTTTCTTTTCTCAGTTTCCTTCTTTCCCAGATAGCTGCAACGCCAGTACTACCCATCTCCTTCAACCAAACCTTCTGCCCCACCAGACTTCTTCATTCCTCTATTTACGACGGCCAACCTTATTAAAAAAGGTAGTTAAACTCGTTCTACACCCAAACAAATCTGTCGCGTGCACTTAACATTGAATTCCTCTGGTTGTTCGTGGGAACGACTTCTAGGGTTTCGAATTGTACTGTTTTGCAGATTTTGATCCTGTTAGTTTTGTTGAATCTGGGTATTAAGGTTTAATGTCTTGCGAATTTCGATTGACCGTAGAGGCTTTAGTTACCTATGTTCTTGTCCATCCGTATTGTCCCTGAATATTATCGAGTGAACTCCAAGCCTCCATTAATGGAGGATGAACACTGAAATCATGTTTTTCAACCAACTATCAACTTACACTCCTCTGCCAAACAAAATTGGAATGTACTTGAGGTTCCAACGCAATTCTAGTTGTTCACCTGTGGAAGATTCACATAATCGAGCTTCTGAAATCGTCATCAATGGCTTATAGACATTGAAATTGAGCTTCAGCAAATCAATGAAAACTTTATGTGAAGCAAATCTAACGTAATCTATCCTAACCAAAAGGAGGTTCCAGGCATGTCCCTGAAAGTTGAAATCGGGACCTTCAAAACTTGTTTGGAATGTGAGTAGAGCTCCCAAGCATCCATTAATGGCAGAAGCTCCAAAGATTAATCCAGCGAGGGGTATTTAGGTTCTTGAGGAAGAAACATCCATTAATTGCCTGGGTTTCTCGAGGCTAGCGACGACGAGCCAGATCGGAACCACCGAACTGTGAAAGAGAAAATTGACCATCCATGACCATATCTACGCACTGGAGTTCAGGGAAAGAGGAAGGAAAGGAAAAGAAAAAGCGTTTAAAAAAAAGAAAAATTAAATAATTCCTACTTGGGCTGCCACGTGGCTAAACGCACTGATAGCTAACCTGGAAACCTGTTGGTGACCTGCAAAATAGTTCAATTGGACGTTTTTTAAGAGTTTGAGGGTTTAATTGGGCGTTTCCAAAGTATGAAGGTTTAATTGACTTTTTCGATACAGGGCATATTTAACACTTTTCTCTCTTTTTTTTTTTAATCCGTACCCATTTATACATTACCAATTTGATATTCTGAGTCTGATTACTAGAATCCGATTCATTATGTACAGTTTTGACTTTTGACTAATTTTTGTTACTAAATGCCGATAGGAATGTGACACCAAGACCCCTCGTTCTCCAAAGTTGGCTGTTTCTTTCCGCCGCTCTCTCAGCCTAAAACCAGTGCTATCCTGCGCCTTCCGACTTTGTCTGCCGACTGGTCACTGCTCGCCGGCCGCCGCTCCAGTCCTCGTCGTTTTTTCCGGTCAGATATCTTTGATATACGGAGAACACCATTAAATTCAAGCGATTGGGTTGTTAAATTAGTTTACATGTGTTTGATTAAATTCCTGACATACTAGGCTACTAATTACAGGTAAAGACGTGATGATGTTCTTGATACAAAAAATTATTTATATGTATTTATACATTGATAGAAGTTTAGTTTCTCTTATTTTTTGCAGTATCTAATAGTTAATAGTATGATCTTCCATCTTCATTCATTCATTCCATCTCTCTATCACAGTAGGCTGTTTTCACTTTCTCGGTTGGAATCATCCCTCCATGGCAGGTATCTCTTTGTTTTCCCTTTATGTATATAAGTGTGGGAGTTTTTTTTTGGAATTCTGGTTAAGAATTTTCTTAAGGTTCATTTCACCCATTCTTCTTTAGTATCTATTGCATAGGTAGACATGTGTGTGGGATGTAGTTCAGTAGTTCCATGACCTGCTTTTTATGAACATTTGCTGAATCTCTTACCATGTGTATTCACCTATGACAGAAAATGAAGCTTCAAATTCGGTAAAAGACCGTGCTTCAAGCGAGCTGAGCTCGATTACGAATGTCAAACGCTTGCATTTCTGGCTTCTACTATCCCTGAATGTGGTGTTCCTCTTGGTTGGTCAGGCTGCTGCTATCATTCTTGGGAGAATTTACTATGACAAAGGCGGGGAACAGTACATGGTTGGCCACAATTATTCAGACAGCTGGGTTTCCTGTGCTTTTAATCCCTTATTTTCTTATTCCATCTCCCAAACAACACTCGGCTGATTCATCAAACCACCCCAAACCTCCACCATCCGCCATCAAGGTTGCTATGACCTACCTCTTGCTTGGTGCCCTCATTGCCGGGGACAACATGCTATATTCCATTTCACTTTTGTACCTATCCGCCTCAACTTATTCCCTTATTTGTGCAACACAACTAGTCTTCAATGCCATTTTCTCATTTTTCATCAATGGCCAAAAATTCACAGTGTTTATTTTTAACTCTGTGATTGTCCTCTCGTTAGCTGCGAGTATGCTTGCCATTGACGAGGACTCCGATAAACCTTTGGGCGTAACTAGGGGGAAATATATATTTGGAATTATTGCTGCTATCATAGCCTCTGCGTTGTACTCCCTCACACTCTCCTTGATGCAGCTTTCGTTTCGGAAAGTGATAAAGAGAGAAACTTTCCGTGTGGTTCTTGAAATGCAAATATTTACATCACTGGTAGCCACGGCAGTCTCCACCGCTGGGCTTTTTGTGAGTGGAGAATGGAGAACTTTGCCGGGAGAAATGCACAGTTTCACTTCAGGAAAAGCTGCGTATGTGCAGGTGTTAGTGTGGACAGGCGTGGGGTGGCAGATATGCGCGGTTGGTGTTGTGGGTTTGATTTTTGTGGTGTCCTCACTCTTCTCAAATGTTATTAGTACTCTTTCTCTAGCTGTCACTCCTGCTGCTTCGGTGATCATCCTGCACGATAAGATGAGCGGTATCAAAATCATTGCCTTGCTAATGTCAATGTGGGGTTTCACAACTTACATATATCAGAATTACCTGGATGATTTGAAGGAAGGGAAATCACGCATTGATTCGAGTAATAATAATGTTCCTAATGATACCCGTTGTTAATCATAGTTGGATGCATCAGACCTTTCACAATAAAGGATCAAGTTTCACATAAGATAAGCAAGTTACATTTGACAAATAAATTATTTTTATTGTCCTCCTTGAAGTGTAAAGTGTACCCTCCCAGCCCAGGCCAAGTATGTGGAGTCCTTTGATTTTGGAAGGAATTCCTACTTCTGAGAGCTTTATAACAAGCTTTAGTGAGAGAAAAATGCACAACCCTTATTTCCTCCGTGCGTTATTCAAGTTCACATGACTTTGGTCCATATGATTTATTCAAATTCGTTATGTTAAGTGTGAATGTGTGATTGTTTTATTTTGTTTTATTTACTAAGTTATAGATTATGGTCTGACGTTTTTGCTATTCAAGTCTTGGAAATAATAAAACATAGAAGTCATTTAGAAAGTAAGATAATGATTGGTGCTCTAAAGTCTAAACCTTCAATTTTTTGCTTTTATTATTCTAAAACGGAAAAATAACTTTAAGTAATACCAATTATCACCAATAAACTAATAATATTTTGAAAATGATTTTTAATTATACCAACTATTTGAATATACAATAAAAATAATATGGAGTGACTTTTCGATAAGAAATCAATTTATTTAAGACATTAAAAACAAAAAGCAAACTATGGAGTATAAAATAAATAATATTTGGAAATACAACCACTTATTTGATATCTTGATACTCCGTATTAGTTTTTGATGAATTAAATAACTGATTTTTTCAGTGAAATACCGTTATATATCACTTTTGATTTATATTTAGATAGTTGATATTATTAAAAATTATTTCCAAAGTATGTATTATTCTTGGTTCATGAAAGATAAATAGTTTTAGTTGTTGTGGTAATAACTAGGGATGGGCTGGGATGGGTCGGTCCGGCCCAGGCTCGGTACTATTTAGGCCCGGCCCCGCCCAGGCTCGGTACTATTTAGACTCGGCCCAACCCGCTAATGTATAGGTCCGGTCCCGGCCCGGTGGCTACAAGGGTGGGCTTCGGGCTCATTTTTATGGTCCCGATCCGGTCGGTCCCGAGACGGTCCCGGGCTCGATTGCACTATTTTGTTAATTTATTGCCCAATCCCGAAGCCCAGCCTGACCCGTACTGTTTAGGCCCGGTCTGGCCGGTCCCAGGCCAGTACAAATCCGGACCGGTATGGGTCCTGAAATATTTAGACCAGAGTCCGCCCAGTCTTGTCCCAGAGCCCAGCCCGATCCGGTCCCGGTCCATCCCTAGTAATAAAATGACACTAATATAGTTGTGCTCCTTGTGTGACGTGTCACTATGTGTAAATTTGTAAGTTAACTATGTTAGTAAACCACAAATTATTTTAGGTGTTCTATTTAATCAAAATAGCCAATTTTCCTTGTTTCAATGAAATGCAATTTATTTTGAGTTTGTAATATATTAGAACTCTTATCTATGATAGTTTTAGCCCTTTTTTTTTGTTACTCCAGGGGCGTCTGGGGAGGGGGCTGGGGTGCTGAAGTAATTGAGGATGAAACTCACTCCATTGAGTTTCGACGAGCTGGGCTGGACCGCTTCCTCAGTTGGAATGAAATATTCAGTTTTTCGAATAACAATTTCCAAAATCTGTTGGTGGAACTATAAATCACCTTCCCTGCCTAGGTCCGAGGAATTTGTTGGGTTTAAGTCCAAATACACCATAGCTTCCAATTATTCTCTTCATTATCAAACACTTGGGACTCTGATTTGTACTAGGGTCTATAACAGTCAACACATCTTGAGTTCATATTTAGAATCCTTTATAGGGAGTATCATCTTTCAATAATTAATTTCTCTCCCATTTATGCATTAAAGACGCTAATAATTTACGATATCTTCCTCCCTCGTATCAATATAATTTGATCTTTACTCACTTTTTTATTATCTCTCATTATTTATAAAATTCAAGCACTAAATATGACTTTCTATTTCATCATCCATGTATATATGTTTTTTTTTTGAAAACTCATTTATGTTATTTTAGAAAATAATAAATTAAAATCAAATTTTATGTGAATGTCCAAATCTAAACCGATGATATTATATATTTGTGAATCATTTTCGACACAATCCCGATATTGCGCACTTGATTTTATAACTTGACATGCAACTCTGATTTGTTTGAGAAGAGAGATCAAGGAAGAAAATTACACATAAGAGAGAATGGAAAGAAAAGATAACACATAAGAATGGTAATGAGAGGGAAAATAATAATGTGAGAGGATTCTCACTTTATGTATATAATATAGAATTTGAATTTCTAATTTCTTAAAATATAAATTCATTTTAAAACATATAATAGCTTTGAAAAGTTAAAACTCAACATCTAGATTTTAAAATTAGTAGTTGATATGAGTAGTTTAAATCAGGTTATTCACGTATATTTTGATTTTAACTTACTTTTCATGACATTAATCTCCCCTCATTGAGATATTAGCTTTTATTTTACTTCAAATCTGTATTTCCATTGAAAATTTGATCAACTTGAATCCTTTTTTATAAAGGGTAATGATATATATCATCCAAAGAGTTTTTTTAATAAAACAAAAAAGGGACAAAAATGGGGCTATCCCAACAAGGGATAATCCCACACCTCAAACCTATACAATCACGCCCAAACACAAAAGAAAGATGATGGGCTAACACACGACATCAAAGTCAAAAAGTGATAAGCTCATGGGGGTAAATATTATAAAGGATCTTATACACCATGTATTTGATCCTAGCAAACACATCGTCCGCTTTAGTTTTGGCACCATCAATTCTGGTTGCATTTCACACCCTCCATAGCCAATATACGGTGTAGATGAAAGCAACACGAACTATTTTGGCCTTGATTATTTCCCGCTCCTCCACGATCCTTCTTGATCCACTTAACCGAGCTATCCAGTGTAGACATTTGTCTAGGCATTCAAATCCATGGTCTAACTCTACTCCAAACAACACCTGTAAATTGACAAGCAAAAAATAGGTGTGGTAGGTACCGTCCGGTTCACCCTTGCAAAATGGACATATGTTAATCGATTTAAGCCTACTAAGATTATCATACGTTGCAAGGCGGTTGCAGAAGGCAAGGCAAGCAATGAATGAGAACTTAGGTGGCATGTGTAGGCCTTCCAAATAAAGGGCATCCAAACATGCTTAGTTCCAATTATTCTAATCAAGGCATAAACCTTAGAAGAACACAATTTACCATTGATAGTAAGAAGGGAAAGACCATCAATTGTGCTCTCAATAGAATCAAATTTAGAGACAAGGAGGTCTCGGATCAACCCAAGCTTTTTCATAAGTTGGGACTCCCTATTGTGTGTGTGGGGAAATCCCACACACTCCTGCCTTTAAGATAAACCTCATTTACTCACTTCACCCAAAGAGTATCCCTCTTTAGATGTATATCCCACAGGTGGCTAGTGTGTCTTATACCTTAGCCACCTTCCTCCTTTGGGAAACACATATCTGCCCAAACAACTTTGGCAAATTTGCATCCCCCAAAGAAAATACGACAAAGTGAGACTACCTTGTCCAGTATGGCTTGTGGTATAGGGAACATTTGTAACCAAAAAGAATGGATACCCTGGATAACAGATTTAATCAATTCAGTTCTACCTGCATAAGACAGGGTTTTAGTGTTTCAAGAACTAAAATAATCTGAGACTTTCTCCGGAAGGGGGGCATATTGGGCCACATATAACTTAAGAGGGGAGGGGGGGGGGGACCCCAAGGTATTTGACAGGGAAGGCTTCAACTTTGAAGTCAACCAGGTCAAGTATAACCGAGAGATCATTATCCATAACCCCACCCAAAAAAATGTTTGATTTGTCAAAGTTGACCCTTAAGCCCGAAACATTTCCAACCTCATTAAGTGCATCAACCAAAATTTTGATAGAGTAAGAGGCTGTTTGGAGCACCCAAAATGGGCTGATAAGCCTGAATGTATAAAAAAAATCACCAAACACTTGCTCGATTGGCTGTTTGGGCTGATTTTTATTATCAGCCTAAAAAACAACAACCCTCTTACTTTTTCAGCTGTTTTGTATTTTTGTACTGTGGATAACCGAAAAGACTCTTTTACCTTCTATACCTAAAGTAAACGTTGTTTTCATATCTGGAGTCACATAGTCATCTGCCGCAGTGCCGCTCCATTAGTTTTGAAAACTTGCTTGGGTGCTCCAGATCAAAAGCTTCGTGGTCAGGTAGACAAGTAGTGGTAAATACTTTACTTTTTTTTTATTTAATTAAAATTCTAAGAAACTCCAATAACTACTTTATGTGTATTTTTGTTTCATTTTATTTTAATTTAAGTGCATGTGAGCTTTTTAATACTCTCAATATTTTATTGAAATTTGAAAGTGTATTTTTTAAATTAATTTACTCATAAGTTAATTAAGCAGCCTAATTATAACCTAATCAAGCAAAATTAATTTACTAATGAAGTTTACACTCATTTTTCTAACACAAACAAGCTAATACCCTTTATAGTAATTTTACACACAATCAGCCATTTCAGCCAACATATTATCAAACACTTTCACTTTAGCACATAAAGTCTTTTCAGCCTTTTCAGCCAATACAGCCATTGCAGCGTTGCAAAATAGGCCCTAAGTGTCCTCTACAAAACAACATGAGATCATCAACATAGGCAAGATGTGATACATTTACACAACCACACTTAGGATGGTAGTTGAAATCAGAAGTGGCTTTCAAGTTTTGGTAGTTTAAACATTCCAAACAGAGGACAAACAACAGATGGGACATAGGATCCCCTTGTCTTAATACCCTCTTCCCCCAGAAGAATCCATGTAATGCCCCATTAAGAGAAATGGAAAATGAAGCAGTAGAAACACATTCCATTATCGATTTAACAAATTGCAAATGGAAACCAATGTTAAGGAGGACACTATTAAGAAAGTCCCAAAGGATGGTGTCATAGGCTTTCTTGAGGTCTACTTTAATCATACACCTAGGGGAGCAATGCTTTCTAGTGTAACCCTTAACAAGCTCTTGTGTCAAGTAAATCTTATCCGTCATAAGTCTACCATTAACAAAGGCTCCCTGGGCAGGGTCAATCAGACCAGGTAGACATGGAATCATTCTATTAGCAATGATCTTTGTGATAACCTTGTAAATAACATTGGCACAAACAATTGTTCTTAAATTAGCAACCGTGGTGGAGTGTGAGGTCTTAGGAATTAAAGCAATAATTGTATGGTTGATTTGCTTCAAGATCCTACCAGAATCAAAGAAACCTTTCACAACTTCAATGACTTCATCTTCAACAACATGCCAATTCTCT